AAAAACCTCCTAGATGATAAACAACGTTACTAATGCCACCATCATGGACTACTTTGGAGTTCCGTTGCTCTTGCTGACTGCGAGAACACAGCCTATAACACAACCTCAACACACACACACACAGAGAGAGAGAGAGAGAGAGAGAGAGAGAGAGAGAGAGAGAGAGAGAGAAATGAAAGGAAAGCACTCACACATGAACAAACAGAGAAAAAAATGTCTAATTTTAGTTTCCTGTCAAACCTGAAAAACTCACTATTTGGCAACAGTAATTTTCATACTAGAACCGAGAGCACATTCAAGTAATATCCCACACATATTTAGATACACCATAATCAAGCTGGTCAATGCTTGGATCACATCTACAAATCAGTCATGATACAGGGAATCTGATGTTGCAATCTACCATGACAGGACAATTATCCTGTGTATCATGTTAACCTTGTTTACCATTCCTTTTGATTGGTTCTGACAATGAACACCATCATGAAACAATTTCTTACTCTACTCTACTCTACTCTTATGTGTAATAAAACAGTTTTAACAGTGGCAAACCTAGATTTCGGCCAGGCCGACAAAATAGTATTAGGCTGTTTGTGATTTTCTTGTCCATTCCCAATGTATCCATTCAATTTACAGACAGCCTTATTTGATCAATATATAATAAAAAAAATAGAATTGTTCAAACCTTTTTAGTGAACTGTACAAATATGTATATGTGCATTACAATTGAAAATGTAAAAAAAAAAAAGAAAAAAAAAAGAACCTTATGCTCACCAAGTCTGGATTTATTTGATAAACAATACAGTAAAACAGAAGCCTACTATTGTAAAATATTTCGCAATTTAAAATAGCAGTTTTCTATATGAATATATTTTAAAATATTAATTATTTCTGTGATGCAAAGCTGAATTTTCAGCATCATAACTCCAATCTTGAGTTTCACATGATCCAACAGAAATCATTCTAATATGTTGACTTGCTGCTTAAGAAACGTTTCTCATTATTATTTTATAATCCGTAATTATGTCCCCACTGGATGCAACAAATGCCTCGTTTATAATGGGTTTTAATGTTTTTGTCTCATCGCTCCGGCTGGACAGGGCATCACAGTATGGTAAGGGGCATAACATTTCCGTCACACGCTTGAGGTATTGGGCCAATCACAACGCACTGGATAGCTGGCCAATCAGAGCACACCTCGCTTTTCAGACCGATGAGCTTTGTAAAAATCGACGCGTTTCAGAAAGGCAGGGCATAGAGGAGAAACAATAACGTACAGTATGTGGAAAATAATGTGTTTTTTTAACCTTAAACCGCATAAACACATTTCATTACACCAAATACTCAAAATAATGTTATTTTTAGCAACATCATATGACCCCTTTAAAACCCTGAGTTTTTGAATTGCTCACATACTAAACACAATCTCAGAAAGAAAGGCACAATAGCTGTCACTGGGGCAGTAAGTTTTTTAAAGCATTTCAAATGTACATTTTTAGGTACTAATATGTATCTTTAAGGTACCAATATGAACCCTTTATGTACCTTTTGAAAAGGTGCCTCCTCATTAACAGCTTTTGTCCTTTTTTCTGAAGAATGCAACACCACACCAAAACTTATACTTACTAACTGCTTGAACTAATACACAGGATTTCTCTCTAACAGAGAGGAAAAACATCTACAAATACACTGGAGAATAATGGCACTGCATCACTACCATTGAGGTAAATAAAAAGCAGCCATCAAGGAGATAGACTGATATCTTCATGTTCTTTTGGTACAAATGTGTCCCCTGAAAGCAAACGCAAAGAAATCTGCTAACTAGATGATGCTAACTCATGGGACAGATGCTGCAGGACAGCACTAATAAGTGAGGCGCGATTTCATGCTGTTATCTAAATGTTCCTGACCTGCCGAGGGAAGCCGTGGCCAATCAGATTGTACTTTATGTTAGGCTACATTGTGACAGTGATGTGTCCCCATGACAGTCCAGACCGCTGATGCCCTGCTACAGGTCTCAGGGCACCTCTTCCCACAATGCCTCGCTCTATCCATGTGTGTGTGTGTGTGTGTGTGTGTGTGTATCTGGACTTAGATTCATCAGCCTTTTTGCATGTGATAGTTCACACCCTGCAGAGCTCACAGCCAGAGGGGTAAACAAACTCTGTGGCCTGAACACACAAAAATGCATACAAAGACACACAAAATCGGTCTTTCTTCAACACAAGGCCTCTATCTCTTGCAAAGACACAGAGATGCACAAACACACACAAGAAAGCCAAATTGGACGCACATTCAATTCAAAACAGACATCGGCTCCATTGCTGTGAATACAATGAGAATGTGTGTGAGTGATAGAGAGCTGTGTGGAGTTACACACACTTCAATGGCATCATTGAGTTCCTCGCCAGTCTCGGAGGGCGCAAGCATCTGACTATACCACACACACGCTTGGCAGATTGTACTAAAATCGCTACGTCTCCTTTCAAACTGACAGACGACCAACATACACACACAAAGTCCCCTTTACAACCCATTATATTATACCATACACAGATGTATAAATGGTCCTTGTAGGATTTTAAAACGGCATTAGTATTTGATTTGTGTTGCGTAACACAAATTCCATTGTGTATCGGTTTGATTCGGCCAAAGCAGTCCAAATGAGCCATGATTGTATCATTCTCTGACAGAGAAATGTAATCATTCTTAGACAAAACTAACAAAAAAGTATGTGTTTATTACAGGTCTAAGAGAATGTGCTCACCTGCGGTGTAAGAAAACTTCGAATCTGAATTCTACACGCGATCTGACTGTAAACACTTTAACTCAGATAAGGCCGATATCCATTCTAAACATTGCAGGAATTACGGCGTTCAGGTCAACAGCCTTCCAACATCATCTGCAGAATGTAAGCAAACTGTAACAGAAAGATATCGTCCCCAGACAGAGACAAAAAAAGATACATTTTTCAACAATAAATCTCAATGCTATATTCAAGCAGTCTAAAGCAGTCTGAAATGTCCAGCCTTACAAAAAGTCATCACGTCAGGTTCGGGAAGAACACAGCGATGTTCAAAAAGCATTTTTCTCTTTCATTTTTTAATAAAGGTAAACTTAAACAGTCACTGAAGTGAAAATGAAATGTATTAGAAATATTTATTATGGCATTTTCATTTCTACATAGCAGAGTTTTGAGATTTCACCTTTAACAACACTGTAAATTTACACACCTTAATAGAAGACAGCAAAACAGATACAGTGGCTCAAAACGCAATGACATTCAAAGATTTTTATGAGCAGTCCAAGTGTCCAAATGCCTTTTGGGCCCACTTGTACAGTTTAAGGCAGTAGTTTTCAATTGGTTTTGCATCATAACCTAGATTTGACTTTAATTACACAATGGCGACCCAAATCTGTAACAAAAAATTTGATTGTGTAAAATGTCAACAAGAATCTCCTTAAAATCAAACGTGAAAACTTAAAATAGACAAAACATTATGCTAAAGTATTAGTATTAGACAGCATGAGCCCTGTTTGGTGAACCCACCCTGCTATCTGACAGCAGTACTAATTTAATTCCTACTTGATTTGATTCGTTTAACACAAAGACCACTATCCAACCCCCACCTGCATTAAAATAAATCTACTACATACAAAAACTGATATCAGAGAGGGAGTTTTGTAGTGCGGAAATTACATGCATTATAATATCGGATAAAAATGATTTTATAAATATGAAAGGTGTATAAAGTTGCATAAAAGGTGTAAATAAAATAATATAAAAATGAACATTATTTGACATTTAAAAAATAGCCATGGCTATTTGACCTGCAGTTTGTTTTTGCTGCATGCAGTGTTTGATTGGATGCACTGCCTTGATGTCAAAAAACTAAAATATATGGGATGGGGTTTTCTCCTTATGATATATGACACTGTTGGTTCTCTGCTAGCCATGAGCATATGCATTTCTTTGGCTTAAACAGTAGAGTATGGTGCTAGCAACACCAACATCATGGGTTCAATTCCCAGAAAAAACATGAGTTGATCAAATGTACCTTAAATGTATTTAAGTCGCTAAGCTTGGAATAAGGCATCTCCCAAATGCATCTATATATATATATATTTATATATATATATAAAGCATATCAAAACAAACCCGAGGCCCATTTTTGGGTCACGACCCACCAGTTGAGCACTACTGCTATGTGGACCATCAAGGTGGTGCATACAAACTATGTTCCCATACATCACCTCCCAGAAACTAACCAGGGTGTGGGGCAAAAATGCTCCACATATTTATTTTCTCATTTTTTATCTGTTATTTAACGTTTGATTTATTTCATAATATGCAGTAACTGTCCAGTGAAGGGTTTAGTGCCTCAGCGCGCATCATAGTGATACTATTATTAATCTAAAACATCAAAATTTGCTCTGACAGCTGTTGAGAGACTAGCTAACTAATTAAAAACCAAGCAGAACATTTGATTTACATTTGGCAAAGAAACTTACATCACATTCAGTGTATAGATTTAAGCAGTTCTCACATTTTCTGGGAATCGAACCCATGTTGTTAGCGCCATGCATCCCCTATTTGAGCTACAGGAATATTTTGCACACCTATTTGATGTTGATTCCATTAAAATAGTTCATGTAAATGCTGTGGGTTTTATACTGTTAAAAACATCTTTGTAAATGTAAATAATAGACATTGTCCTTTACTGGGCTCCCACCTGTTTTAAATTTCTGAATGAACAAAACTCTTTCACTTAACCTAGCATATGAATGACAAAATAACATATTAAAGATGTCAAACTAGACATCATTAATAGTAAACAATAAGCATATGGCACCAATAAGCATCCAGCTGATGATTCACAACAACACACATGCAGGAATGACACTGAAACACTGAATGAATGACAAGATGGTGGAAATAATGTGAGATAAAGAGCAAAAAACCGATTCCCACCATCTTGCCATTCATTCATTCCTCATACCTTGACGCTGGTGCTGCTGGTCTGAGTCTCGGCCTCCGTGCACATGTGTCCGCAGCTGTTCTCTCTCCGCTCCCGGAGGGAGTTGGTCCGTGTGTGCCTGCTCTGGTAGGCGATCACGGAGGGGATGGTGTCCGCCGCGTCGGTCTTGATGAAGAGGCCGTGCAGGGTGGTCGCCGTGCCCTGCGAGATGGTGGTGGTCTGGTGCGGCGAGTTGGACTCATCCGAGTCGCGGCAGTAGATCACCCCGCTCTGCGAGACGTGGATGCTGGGAGCGCAGCCCATCGTTCCCCGCGCCTCGCTGCGTAAAACCCGGAGGAACGGATCTCAAGACCGCCGCCGCTCCCGGGCCGCTGTTCCCCCGGTACATTGGCCGGTGGTCGCGCTGCTCAGCTCCGCCTGCCTCCCTCCAGCGCGCGTCAAGGAGAAACGGAGAGGAGATCCATCTCGCCGCGTTATTTATCAGTGATGATATCAGATCAGATCGATGACACCTCGTCTGTCCAACCGTGAGCCCGCTGAGTTTGTGCCATGTCACATTTTGGACGAATTACACCCTAATTTCACCTCGGTGTATGATACTAAAGGTTCAAGCTGCACGATGCGATCCATTTTCTGGCGGTATTGATCATCTGTATGTTCATCACGACGGCGGAGCTCTTAAATAACAGACGCAAACATCAGACTGTGAGAATATGCCTCAAACTTACACTCATGGTCCTTTAAGACACAGGAGCGTCATCAGTGACAGACACGCACATCAGTGACACCCTCTTCCCATGAAAACACACACACACACACACGTCTGGTTTGCTATCCTTGTGGGGACCCTCCATAGGAGTAATGTTTTTTCTACTGTACAGACCGTATTTTCTATTTTTAGATCCATCCATCTATCCATTTTTAGATTTTCAAAAAACTTATTTATTAGCTTGTTTACCCGTGGGGACCTCAATTTAGGTCCCCACCGTGACACGAGTCTGTGTGCATTCGGGTTTAAGTCCCCACCAGAATAGAAAAACAGGTACACGACACACACACACACACACACACACACTCTCTCTCTCTCTCTCTCTCTCTCTCTCTCTCCCCCTCTCTCTCTCTCTCTCTCTCTCTGTCTGCCTGCCTGCCTGCCTGCCTGCCTATTAATTCATTCTGGAATAATGGTGAATTCATCTTTGTCTGTGTGTGGAGTTTAAACGAGAAAGACACTTATATCCATGACTGTATTCATATTCAATAGCGTGCAAAAATGCATAAACAAGACTAGTGATTGACTCAACTAATACTGATGCTGATATCGGGACAGCACGGTGACCCATAAATGTAGCTATAACACCATCCTGCATTAATGAAATGAAATCCAATGCTTGTTTCTCACAAAGCTTTTAGAGCTGATTCCAAAAATAGCACTGTTTTGCTCTAGCATGTCACACTTTCTTACAAAATATGATGCATTTATGATTACCTTTGTAAGGTAAAGAAGTCTTGTATCTTTCTGTGAGTTACAACTTTTTGTTCAATTTTCAGCCCACTTTCACATGTATGAATGATTTAAGACATTATTCTGTGCGTAATCCTGTTTTTAAGGTTAGAATTATGGCCAGTGACAAGAAAAACACGACCCAGATGTTTTCTGCTACATCTGTATGTTTCACTACATGCAAACAGTGACAGAAAAATACAGATTTTCTGAAAAGTTATTTGACAATTCATTTTGACTGCTTTATTTTGATAAGTGCATTAAAAAAGTGTTTGTTTTTAAATTCAGCATAATCAAATTAGAAAATATTAGGCCTTTTTTGCAAACACCTGTAATTTGAAGCAAATGAAGCATATACAACATTGCTTCCTGAACACATACTTCACACAATGTTTACTTATATAATTCACTCAAAAATAAACAGACAATATGTGTTATGCATTCTTAAAGCTGTCAGTGATGCAAGAGGAACTAACTTCAGTCAATGAACCAAGTGGGCATGTTTATGAACTGATTAAACGAAACAAGGCCATGCAATTGACCTTCACCTTGATGCATCAAAAATACTTTGAACATTAGAACGTTCATAAACATAGTGTTTCTGCAGGTTAAACAGTAGAGCATAGGGTTGAATTCCCAGGGAGTGCATGAACCAATAAAATATGAATGCAATAAGTCATTTAAAGCATCTGCCAAATGCATAAAAATGTACAGTGCAAGACTTCAGGATCAGTGATAGTACATCTGGGTTTCCAAATGTTTGCATATTACAGGTTCAAGCTGTAAAGTGTTCCAAACATCTGTAAATGACTGATAAGCCCAGCTATGATTATATAAGACTACTCTGACCTTTTATTATGCTGGAGTTTACTTAACAGATTCTTGCATGGATGGGAAAAATGTTTCTAGCCCAACTTTGTCACTATTGCAAGTCATTCTGCACACGTGCCATACAGTACATGCGTAGTCAAAATGTTCAATAGTCATAATGCATTGTGGGTTTGTTTGACATTGTATATCCTGGAAATGCCAATAATATCCCAGATGCACTATTCTGATAAACTAAATACACAGTAGTTAAACATTTACATAATCAGTGGGAAATCTTATTCATGGGGAATGTTCTTTACTATGGTTTAAATTTTGCAATATATATTTATCACACCCAAATCACATGTGGTGCATGTGCAGAATTTTGAGTCGAGAGGAAAATGCAACTGTGAAAATTAAGTAGTACAATTATTGTAGATCAATAATAATTTTTGGTCAGTCTAATGAAGTCACACCTTCCACAGATCATTTACTTAAAGTGAAAAATCGACCCACCCTCATGTCTCTCGAAAACCTGAGACTTTTCTTAAAGTTATTTTAAAAAATGTCAAAGCTGCTGTTTACCATATAATGAAAACTTATGCTGATCAGTGTTGTAATTTTGCTGTAAAACACTATGTTATCTTCATTGCACTCTATGTCTGTACTTTATGGAAGCTTGTTTCTGCTTAATTTTGACTTTATATCTTGCAATTCTTAGAAAAAAGGTCTGAATTGTGAGATGTACAAACCCAGAATTGTGAGAAAAAAAATCTGAATTGTGAGATTAAAAAGTCACAATGATCGTTTTTTATTTTTTTATTCTGTGGCAGATATAAGCCTCCCTACTTCTAATATAACAAAGTACCAGCTGTTAAAGTGCAACTGAAGCCCTGTCAGGATCATGGTGTACTACTGGTGAGTGTGATTTGACCAAGTACAACATGTTCCTGGATCAACATCCTTGTTGACCCTGGAACATCATTCCAATCAACCAATCAGAATTGAGAGATAACTTTTCAGGAAATGTACGTTTTAGGCTTACAATCAGGATTAGGTGCTTCTACACCCATGTTAATCAGCTATCATTTCCCTTTGATTTTAAGAATAAATTATGGGTACGGTTAGGTTTAGGGGTGGGGATTGGGTTAAGTCTGTATTTTTGGACAGTTATGTTGATCCAGGATCAACAAAAGATGTTGATCCAGGAACTTATCTTACTTGGCAAAATCACGGCGACCGTGTACTACTATGTCTTCATGATACATACTACGGTATTCAATCAAGTTAATCTCACACCATGTGAATGCCATGTTATATAAATATGGTAATCATCCCTGGTATAAATCAAAGATACAAAGGTAGTAAAGAAAACAGATAGTGGTTAAACATTTATATAAGCAGTGGGAAATCTTCAGGTTGTCAAGATCATAGCCGGCACTGCAGAGAACAATTAAAAGTGATTTTTTTCCCCAGAATGCAATGCTACACTTTTACACCTCTTCAGTGTTACAGAATCACTGAAGCTCGTAGCAGATGCATTATGCATGAACTGTCAATGCGATTGTTAAGTATTCTTTAATCAGCCACTCTTAATGGAAATTACAAAGTACCACAATTACAAAATGTGAATCAGCTTACATGTGAAAATTATACTTTGGAATATCTTATAAGATTTTAGGCTTGTAGCTGAGAGCATTTTAATTTAGGCACTCAGCTGGAAGCTTTTTGACCGACTGAGGTATTTGTTATAATCTTTGCTTTAAACGAAACACCTAATCTCCAATATCCAGTAGAGTTCAACACAGCGTGTATTCTAGATTACAACATCCCCTCTTCATCAAAGAAATAAAACTTCCTCTTGTTCTTCTTGCAGATGATTTAATCTGTCCAGCATGTTACACTGATTGTTGACCTGACCTTCTGCTCTCAATACACAAGCCCACCCATGACCGCCCTCTGCTGGAGGACTGCAATACTGAAATGACAGAAATCGAACTTAACATGTACAGTTACAGAGAGAGCAGGAATTCTCAGTGTTACAGTGTAACATTCGTGCGGACCAGAAAAAAAGCCTCAATTGCTAATCATGGCAGCAATGACTCAAATGAAACCCTATGAAAGCACAGAACAAGACCAACTACTTTAAAGATCAAATGGTGCATAAAGATAGGCGCTCATCATTAAACAATTATTAATTTGCACTTACACTTACAGGGGAGAGTGGGGTAAGATGTGTCACCCCTTAATCGAGGAAACTGTGTACAACAACATATGGAGAGGGCCAAACATATACAATTATATCTGTGTTTAAGTAACATACATGAGACTTTTTATGCTTTAAAAAAAAAATGTTCTACATGGCAGGTTGAGTTTATAGTCATAAAAGGTATTTCCCAATGACTTTTATGTCAAAACAAATGTATTCAGGTCTAAATATACATGCTGGTGATTTGCAATGTGTAACAGTTCAGATATTCAGATGATTTGTACATTTCAAAATGCAAATTTCTCGCGTATTCCCCAATGACTCAATTTACCCTAAACTGTGGACAAGTTCACTGAAGTGATATTTCTAGGGCCCTATACAGATGCTTCTTTCTCAAGTCAAGTCATTTTTATTGTGTTTGTTTCAGTAACACATATGCTTAAATACATTGGTTGTATTACTTAATTCTTTTTGCCTAAAGGACAACAAGTGTCACAACTACACCCACTGTCCCATACTAATGTGAACGCACTATACGATGTCATGAAGAGCGCGCTGACTAACGGAGGACCGAAGTTTTCCCCCTAGCTAGCAGAACAGGTCAAATCTATATTATTTAACCTTCTTATAAACCGATTTTTTTCACTAGTAGAACAGAATGAACAGAACACGGAGTCGCATTATTCCTTGTTGGCGTTTCAAAACTGTCACATTGGTTAAACTTAATCTAGTTAAAACGTATAACGTCAAGTTATGAAACGACCCTCGATGTCTCGATGAAAAACAACCCCGTGTTTTAGAAAAAATAAAAACTTTTAAACGTGGGAACCGCAGCTTTAGAATGGTTCAGAGTGAACCTCACCTCTCTCCTCGGTCCGTTGGACAGCAGCTGTGTGCTCGCGCTCATCTCTGTCCGTCCCCCGGTCCAAACTGCCCTCAGAGGTTCGAAACCTTACATGAAATCCCACCTATTTAGAGTTAAAACCTCGCGGAAAGCACGTTTTGTCAGCATTCTCTCCACCAGATCACACCGACAGACAAAGGCTGTCTGGGAAGTTTTTGAGGTTTTAGGTAGGCGACGTTTCTCTCAGCTTTCTCGCTTTTTCACCCACACGAACAGAACGGACAAGTGCGCGGTCCTAGCGCCGCCGGATCCGTGCGCACTACTGCGCAATCAGGGGAATCTCGCGAACTCGTGTCAGAT